AAAATAAACGCCTATTTTTTATTTTGAGAAAAAAAGAAAATTAAGGGATCGCTCAAAAAACAACTTTTCGTAGAAATAGTGTAGAATTCTGGAAAATCAATATCTGTCGATCGGAGAACTTTGCTTATCTTCAGAAGATTCCCAGTAGTAGTACCCAATTGTTTCTTTAACCATTTTTTCATGGGAACTATATTTTATAGGTCCTCCAAAGCCCCCAGAAAATGCAATGGGGACCAATAAAAAATCTTTAATATTAAAAAATGATTAAATAATTAATTGGACATTAATACTGGAAATCTTCTGAGGAGAATCACAGTTTTCCAATCGAAAAATATTTATTTTTAAGAATTTTATACCATTTCTACGAAAAGTTGTTTTTCCCCCATATAAATACATGGAAAACTTTGAGCGCTGTGAGTACTCCCTAACTATTTTTTGATTTTAAAATAAAAAATATAGGGGTATATTTTTTCGGTTCAGAACAATCCTAGGGTGTGGCGGCATTAAAATTCTGACTTTATTGTTTTTGAACCACTCTTATGTACATGTAACTTTTCATATGTTTTTTTAGAATTTTGCCAGGAGCGTCGAATGCTTTTGGAACTAGTTGGTCCTGAACTGCAGTCCATTTACGATGATCGGCAAATTGAGGTAACTCAATTATAAGTGCAATTACAAATAGAATTACAACTACAGTTACGTTTATAATTATAATTATCGTACCAATAACGATTACAAATTATGATTATAATTAAAATTGCAGTAACAGTTGCAATTTCAAATACAATTACAATTACAGCTACAGTTACAATTACAATTATTATTGGAATTACAATAACAACTATAATTACAATTACAGTTACAATTACAAATCCAATTACCATGACATTTACAATTACCGTTACAATTATAATTACACTAACAATTAGAAGTACAAAAACCATTAAGATTACAATTAACATTACCGTTACAATTACAGTTACAATTACAATTACAAATCCAATTACAATTACCATTACTATTACAATTACACTAACAATTAGAACTACAAATACCATTAAAATTACATTAACAATTACAACTCCATTACAATTACAATTACAATACTAATTACAATTTCAATTACAATCACAATTACAATTACAGATTGAAATTGTCGACATGCACTTCGGCACTGGCCCCTTACATATAATGCAAGTCGAACAGGATCCGTATATTCTACAAGATTATCTTCACGAAATTGAGACTTGCTACAATAACTCAAAAAGTGTATTTTTTCTGGTTAGTAAATCACAAACGCTGCAAATGCTTCTTTATCTCTTTGAAAAGATAAAATTAAATATTAAAATTATTAACCATAATTTACCTCTTTAACTTAATGCGTTTATAGGCGTTAATCGGCGATAGAATCGGTCCCATGCCATTGCCAACGCACATCGATGACGATATTTTCACAGCCATACTAGAGCATACGCAAACGAGCGATGAAGAGCGGAATTTGTTACGAAAATGGTACGCACAGACAGCAACAGGCACTCAAAATATAAGGAGTTGCAGCAGTAGTGAAGCAGAGGGCAAAGCTGCTAACGCACATAGCAAATACGTGCTTAAGCAGGACTATCGGTGAGTGATGTTTGGATAATTGCATATACATTAGGGTGGTCAAAAAATAATAATAATGCCATACACCCCCACAACTGAACAATATCGAAAATAAATAGACCTGTATTTTTTTCTTTTAAAGCAAAATGTTTTACTTGTTCAAAAAATATGTATTTTGAAAAGGGATCGACAACAAGCATTAAATACCAAGATTTTTATTTTTTGTGCATTGCAAAATCTTCATTTTTTGATTTTTATTTTCTCGATGAGGAAAAAAATTTTTTTTTTTTTAAATTTTTTCGGTCAATATTATTCATTATTTTGAGATTTTAGTTTTTATGGCCGCATTAAATCTTGCATGATCTAAAAAATTAAATCTGAAAATAACGGTTATAAAATAATCAAAAAAGTAAAAATTAAGAATGAATAAAAAAAATTTAAATCCAAAAATAAAGATTGATCGAAAAAGTTAAAATCATAAAATAACGTTTAAATTAAATAGAAAAATATAAATTAAGGCCCCTGATTTTAAACGATTTTTTAGCAATTCTACGAAAAAAATTTTTTCCTCATATAAAACATTTTAAAAACGGTAAAACGCGCATAAATATTTACCACAAATAAAAAGCGCGTGTCTCATTTTCCATTTTCTATCATTCTGGGGTTGGCAGCAAGGAAATTCCGAAAAGAAGATTTTTCTGCGCATCGTTGAGCCGCCCTATTACATATTTATACATATGTATGTGTGTGCATAATCGAATATTTATGAAATAATATCTACATAAATATTAATAAGTAAAGCAAATATATGTATTTACACATGCATATGTGTTCGTGTAATGGGATTTCTATTGAATTTGCTTTTCTTGGCATATTTTTGACTAAAGCCGCTTTTGCCAAATGCGCCATTGCGTGCGTGCTAAGGCATTTATGATAGCGAGCTCATATTACATACATACATATATATGTATGAGAAAGCAATCAAATTCAGATTAAGTAAGCATTTATAAAACAATTACATTCGATTTAATCAATTTTCTCCATTTGGTAGCTGGTGGCACGCATTCCCAACACGTTCCCTAAAGTTTTGCTAAAATATTTAAGTAACGCTGAGTTAAAGTCATATTGAAATTGAACTTAAATGAATCATACATCCAACATTCCTGCAAATCGAAGTTCAGTAGATAAAATAAACCGATAAAAATAAAGATTAAAAAGAAATAATTTTAAAAGAGAAGATCGGATATTATTGAATTGAGAGAGAAAGCAGCTACATATGAGAAATGAAATTTTAATGAAAACTGTTTGAAATGTGATTAATTTTTCTGAACTTTTTTGAACTTTGAATAAACATAAGTTGCAAACAATATCGCTTTTAACATATCGATGGTCCTGTGCAATAACGACACTATTTAAAATTCAAAAAAAAAAA